CTACACTCCTAACACTACTAACATACTATTTTACACAGACAAACGTATCTATATACACAATATACAGATATAATCATTCCTTTCGGCCTAGTATTTCAAAATTTGATTTATTTGTTCCATGATCTCAGACGCTTCAGTTTATTCCCAACTTGCTCTATGCTGTATAAGCATATTTTTATTCTTTACGTTGGTACTATGTTGACGTTGCAGCTGTAGATATTGAAGTTCTGAGACAACCAGTATGTTTCTTAGTGAACCGGTTGTCTGCAGATGTAATAATGTAAACAACTTATCATGCACATTAGTACATCGTATATTACGTGAATCTGAAGGTACGTTATTGATAACTGTAATGTCATAATCTAGTTTTATAATTACTCAATTATAATCTATTTTAACTTTAATTGTGGATTCATATTGCTCTACGCAGATGATAGCCCCAATTCTAGGCCGAAACGTTGGAAATATTACCCATTGGTTATATTGAGTCAATTAATTGGTTATATTGGTCAATGTAAGTGGTTGTATTAGGTCTGTTGAAAAAGTGATTTATCGTGAGATGTATACAAAAACAGACGTTCACTTTCTGTTACATTGACGGTAAAGGTAGGAGCGTAAAGCAGTCGAGCATTCTTATGGTAACAGACTTCCTTCGGCAGCATGTTTCAGCGTTGTTTTGAAAGCGTTTTTTATTAGAATTTATTTAGTCAACACACAAAAATTGTATGTGGCGAATGGGGGAGACTATATATGCACGATTTATCGAGTTCCGGAATTCCTTCCAATAATTTGAACTAACATTTTCATATCAACTATAAATAGCTGAAAGATGAATAGAAGTTTTTTTAAGAACAAACAAAGTAAATACAAATGAAATTTAAAAAAGCGCGAGATTATTAACATTTGAAGCAACTAGTCATTTTCGTTTTTTAGTTAAGGAAAACTTATTTGCAGCTATAAACGAACTGCAGATTTGATTCTTATGCAGCAACTCATCGTCAGATATACTCTTACCACTACAAGCAAAAAGAAATTTCAACAAAACGTGCTCATAGTGAATCTATATTTATGTCCAGAAGCAAGACAAGGTGCCATCTCAACATTTTCTCAAAGTAGCAAGGAAACTGGACAAAAACCTGATCGATAAGGGGGCCATCGACTCGTTTATTAGTCGAAGATTTTCGTCTTGTAAAAGAACTGTCCGTCCGTAAGCGAGAATTATATACCTATTTTCATATCGGCATTTAATATAAGCTGAAAACGCAGAGCGAGCCCATTTGTGAAAACTGTTCTAGCTTATGTTTGAAAATGTATTCAAACTTTAAATAATTTAATTTTTATAAATACGCGAATCCAACATTCTTATTTGGTTGAGTACTTACATGTGTCGGCGTCCCATCCCGTAAACTTAGTTTGTTAGAAATAAAATGGTTGGTCTGCGAAGTCTAACTATTAAATGAATCAGCCTTCGTTTTCCAGTAACATATTTACATCATTTATTGATTCAACATTAATTTAATGAGTTTTTTTTTTTTTTACAAATGTTACTTTAGCAATACCTTCTATTGGCACGTCATTAAATGGAGATATACCAAGGCCTTTTCGACGTTTATCTGATATTCTCTTTGCTAGAACTTATTAAATTTATGTGGTACGACGATTCCGCGACGCTTATGATTCGTGAAGATGTTGAAGCTGCGAGTACATTGAAATGAAGTAGTTCCCATGAAGCGTCTTGAATTCTACCGGGAATTTTCTGTTCTTGCGCCTTGACGTTAAACATTATAAATTGTTGCCCTTTAATCCGACTTGGGAGAGAAAATGAGTGCTCATCATAAACAGTCACCACAACGGGAGAGGGGACGCTACTGAAGAGTTTGTGGATACGGCCTGAGACGGCGTGTTTTGTCAGTTGAGGAGCAAACATTCAAAAAATTACACGTCCGTTGATTTAAAGATGGTGTCAAAAACTAAAATGTGTGTTATATTTTACATTTTTATTGGAAAAGTGTGAAGTGGACGTGTCATGTTTTGAATGTTTGCTCCTCAGTCGTGATAGACATTCATCGTATGTGAGCACATTCGGATTTACTGTTCTGCCTACGTGGGTATACTATGTTGGTGGATCCCGCGACTTTGTCAAAAAGAAACCGAATGCCTGGCCGGAGCCGTGTGTGCCACCCGCCGCTCTGGGACAGACCCCGCCTCTCCTCACTGTCGGGCGGCCTCGTACCGTGTGCGACGCGCGGCCGCACCTCTGCTCTTAAATATATAAACATACACTTTTCATTACAATTCCTATTTGCATTAAGTTACATTTGCATTTAAAATCGGAAATTGAATAGCCGTCGAGCGTGCGTCCTGCTCGGCGAGGCCAGCGCCTCCTTTGGCGTAGCACAGTGGGCCCAAAAGCCTCCGAAAATAGGCGTTGTTAAGTAGATATTTTGTGATTCGGAGCTGACATTCCAACACTGAAATAAAAGTATAGAAAGTGTAACTAAAAATGTGACTATTTTTTTTGTCATAAAGTGACACAAGTAACTGAAACTTGCAACGTCTTGAAAACATATTTTCTTTTGTGTCTAGGATAAAGTATATTACAGGTTTTAATATTTCTTGCTCTAACCTCTTTCTCATTGATGTGCAAATTATTGCAATTTTTACGTACTTATGTTCATCTTATAGATTTACAGCTTCTTTTAGCTTATTCTTTGAGCTTAAAATAATTCATTCATGAATAAAAAATGGCAATTTTATAATTTTATGTCAACATTCATCTCAAAAACGTGTATTATCTCATACCATGGCCAAATATTTTTATGTAACCGGTTCCGTGAGTCACGAATTTTGGTACGTTCACCTTGTCACTGATTTGGAGCACTGTGCTGCCGCGCGCCGTGCCGCTCACAGGTGTCGCGTGCGAATTATTATAATCCTAGCCAGCAACACGGAGGGGCACAATAAAACACAACCAGAGTTTCTATTTACGTAATATACATTCATGAGGCACTACCGGACTTGATTATCATGCGCTTAAGTCGGTAGCATTTTGAAAGGTCGTATATTTATTTTCACTACTCCACCTTTCCAACGTTGCCGGGATGTTCGCATTCAGTCGCGTTTTGGTGGAAGCGACACGCTAGTTGTTGAGTCTCTTCTGGACATCTCTCTGCTTTGTTATTTTTTTAGCAATTGAATTTACTAACTCTAGCAAATATTTTCAAAATGGTATCGTCAATCGATAAAATATTGTAAAAAGGCAATATTTGTGTGAGGAAATGAGCTTTTAGAAATAAACGACACAATGTATAATATTTGAAAACAAACTTTTTATTAGACGAGTTTGATATGGGAAGAGCGTGACGAAGCAATTTTTACTTCCTACCTCTTACTTCGTTAGAAAAGAAAGTTATGTAATCCTTGACCGAAAACTGTGAGTTTACGGCAGAAATATTCTTATTGACGGGCTCTGATGGTGTAAAAGTGGATAAATCCTATTGTAATATATAGTAAATTACTTCCTCTAACTCGAGGTGTAGCCAGAATCCACATTTTGTGGGTTCTTGATATCTAAAAATTATTTGACGGCAAAATGTCTTACCTGTCTGTGGCCAAACCTAGCGCCTAAACCATAGAGTTGATTTTTTCCAAACTTAATTTTCCTCTATCAATCTGAACGAACTCAAGGCTATGGGAGTTTCAACTGGAAATTTTGATTTTTGAGAGTACCTAACTTGAAGCCTCAAAAACTTTTTCAACATTTTCTCAAAAATCGTCAAATTGTTTTTAATAAACGTTCTCAGAGAGCGTAAAATACAATTAAGAAAATGTTCCAGGTCTCATGTTTGTTGAAATTCCCGATTTTTCGAAAATTGAAAATTGTTTCGTCTAGAAACAGTAAAATTGAAGAGAGAGATGTTTTCCTTAATGAAATATGTTCTTTAAAGACATCTTGAAATAAGGTCATGTACAATTTTTCAAAAATGTGAATAGTTTTTGCGTAATTTTGCGCGATATAGAGGCAAATTTTAATTTTTTAAAACTTTTTTTCTCTAAATCGGTACCAACTTTTTTTTAAAAATTTTCCCTTCGTATGTATAAAAGGCTGGTAAAATATGGTGCTAGTCCCATTTTAAGCTAACTCTCTGTATTTTTGAAAATTGTTAAAAGTTAACATTTTAACAGTACAAAATTGAAGACAGTGATTTGTACTTTAGACAAAGTCTTTTCCAAAAAAATAGCTCTTGAAAATGGTCATATATATTTTTGAAAAACGAAAAGTTTTCGCGTGATTTGGGCTTGAAATTAATGCAATTTATAAACGCTCAATTTTTTCAATTTTGTTTTCGTGGATAGAGGAAGGGTCCCTTAAAAGAATTGTGAGGGTTTAATTTTTGATTTCTCTAAATTTTCGACAATTGCAAATTTAGAAATAATGAGAAAAAGCGCGCTGTTATAGCTCCACTAGTTAATTTATGTGAAATAAACGAAATAATGCTCTTCCTTGCCTGCTGTCTTCCTGAATATCATTATTTCTGAAGATTGATGTTTTTAGGCACGTCAACGGCTATAGTCATTAGTTCCGTTAGTGTAGTGAGTGTTTTATTCCGGGAGGCGATGGTGTGTTTCTTCATCTGAATGGTGGGATATGGCTCCGACTTATACGTTGGCGTGCGAGGAATATCCCCATTCCAGCGGGGCACCGCACTAGCCGGGCAAGATCTAAGCTTCCGACTCTCTAAGCTCTAAGCTCTGGACTCCGGGGGTAAAACCGAGGTACACAAGTTAAGGGGAGAGAACAGGACAAGGTAGAGGAAGGAAAGTTCCCATTTGTTAAGATATTGCTCTGACATTCGCCTAGTTTTGGTCGAAAAAAACTACCCATCACATCATCCAGCCGCTAGAATTCTACAATCAGCGGTTTAACTCGACCCAGTTACGGAGGTCGTGTCGAAAATCCGTCACCGCCAGGTCTTCCAAGGACCTCCCGAGCAGACACACTGAAGGGGCAGCGGCAATGCTGGCTCTGAGCTAACTCGGACAATATTTCAGGAGAAAAGTGTAAAGACAAATTCAGTAAAAGTTTTAATTTAATATTATTTTTTTCTGTTTGTATGTAAACATGAAGAATCTCCGAAACAGTAAGGAAACTGCATGCCACTGCGTTTGGCGACACTGCTACAGGTCTCCGAAGAAATACAAACGTAGTACATATCGATTTGAAAGAACTGTTGCCTTCATGGCTACAGAGAGCACGCCATTCGCAAGTCCCGAAAACCAAACATTTGCCCATTTGGTAGCCCTTATGCTCTATTGTTTTAGCTTTAAGGTGAATTGACAATACCAGGTAGTTGAAAACTACTGTAATATAAACTTCTGACTGTAATATAAAAATTGGAATGTTCAAGTATTTCTGTTGTGGCTACGAAGTATTAAAGTAAGCAGTAATAGTTTTACCTCGTCTGGACTAACAGTCGTAATGATGCAAAATTTCATCTTTCAAAGGCTTTGCGTACCGAATACTATTAATACACGTGATATAAATATTATTATAATATTCGGATAATATTATGACTTAAGTTCAGAAATGTGAATGTCAAAAAAGATGTTATAGTGGGATGTATCAGCTATAAGGCCGTAGGTAATTACGTGACAATATCTATGGATGATGAGAGGAGAAAATGATAGATTTGTTTGAATTAATTTAGATGTAAATGAAATATACTCTTTTGATGAAATTCAATTCAACCACGCATTTGCATAGGCAAACGCATTCCAGTTTATTTGTGACATATCAATGTATCTTTTGAAATAGTGAGCAAGGCTGCTGTAGATGCCCGTAACTGTATTTAAATATCGCAGCTTCTGACTAATGAAACTTTTCACTAAATATATGTTCTAAAGCGGTCTTAAACGCTCCACATTGCTCGAGATTTGACGCACATCTTCCACTACACCTAGATGAGGTGGTTTTGTGTGAAGCATCACGCGTACGTTTACACTCAACAAACGGCTATTTCTCAAGAGATATTGTTGTGATACCAATCGCTACACTTTGTGATTTGAAATGTACGACGCCACGTCAAATTGATTGACGTACGATTGAATTATTGTTTTAATCCTACTTTTAGTGTGAATTGTGACCTCATATACAAAATTAATTGAAATATTATGTTTATCTTGGAGCGACCGAGAGGTATTTTCTTATTTTCATTTACATGAAAACTTATCGAACAAAATATATTTTGCCTCGATTGGAGAACGGCGAGTGATCTAACCGTAAGATGCGGACGCATAGACGGATACTCGCAGTCACTCAGATTCTCTAATGGAGTGTACTTGTGTACATAAAATTGGATGTTGGTTTGTTTGAGATTGATAAACTCCGACATTGTTTTGACCGATTTCCATGGAAGTAGGCACATCTTCATGAGTTTTCTTGGAGAATGTTTTTATGCTGTTGATTTTGTTGTAAATCCACAAGGTGGCGCTGGAGCAGAAGATGACGCTTTGGTTAAATGCATTTCCGAATCTACCTGGGCTTCGTTGTTGCTGGGAGTTGCCATGTGACGCGAGGCGGGGTCGATTAGGACAGGATGAGCGGGCGAAGATGTAGTTGGGACGAAACGAAGGCAGAGGTAGGAGCCGACAGCGAGGGAGCCGATTGCGACACGAGAACACCAGGTCGCGACAGCGTTGACGGAGTGGAAAGACGGCGCCATGGCGTTATTCTGCGAGTATTAATACAAATATCTGGTGAACTGTGGAAAAAGTAACGATAATTCAACAAAGATACAATCGGTTTACGTTAACTTAATAGGAGAAAACATCTCAATAATGTATCCAATGATTCATAAAATCAGGTCCCTAATATACATACCTTTCACAAAATTAATTATTTTTATCTATAATTTACATAATTATTTTTTTTATTTTGATATTGATTGTAATGATGTATTCTCATTGAAATACTCCATTTTAAAATGTATTAGTCCCAATCGTATTTTTTAAATAAATATTTGAAAAGGTATATTGGCATACCAACTTACAAAGGAAATTGAGCAACATCTTCATTTCATCGTGTTACGTGTAAATTGTTATGTCACTGATAAGTTTCTCGGACATGTACAATAAAACAAACATTCTTTATACTCGCATTTATAGAACTTCAAAATTTTGCTCCAGCTGTAACACTGTAAAACGAAATGTAAAGAATAAATAGATTAGGGTTGTAGTAAAATTTAATGGTTTCTTTTTGTGTACAGTTGTAGACATTTTTTAAACAAGGTGACCAATCGTCCTCCTTTAGGGAGGACAGTCCTTTTGAAGGTTCTACCCTTATTCGGGAAGTGTCCTCCTACCTGTCCTTCTTTTCGACATTTTAAAATTAATGTGTTAGTCTAGTTGATCAAGTGAGAACTCGTGTGAGAAATCATTGAATGTTAATAGTCTAGCTGCAGCACTTACCGTAAAATCCAATATGAAGGATATTTTTTGCTCCGAAAATTCCAATATATTGTTATAAAATGATATATTGACAAAAATATTCATTTAATGGAAAAATTACCAGTTTAATTAAATAATTAAAAGAGATGCAAGCATAATTAGTGTATTCTTGTTTGAATTGATACAAATTTTCATTTATTTATGTTGTACAATTTTATTATATTTCTTCGTCCGCATTTTCTTTGTAAAAAAATGGTCCTTATAAAACAATAAATATCTTGGTTCACCTAATTTTAAAAAAAATCTTAAATGATTTATACTAAATTTCATAACGACATTGTTGCATTTTATTATAAAGCTGCGTACGAGTATTATTACTTTCAATTCACCTGGGAATCCGTATCTTGTACACATTTAATTTCTGTTCTTGTCAACATTTAGTTCTCTCTCTCGTGGCGCTGTAAAATATACTCATGTTTTGTTAATTCAAAACAAACAAAACTGTTTTGCAATTGTAATTTCCATTATTGACATTAGTGGAGCATATTTTAAGCGTAACGTACTCCACGTCCGGTACACTATTTGAAAATACTTCATCAAATACTCTTTGGGTAATTTAAAGGTTTGCAGAAGTGAACTGGGTAATTTGATGGTTACTGAACGAATGCCTATGACATATTTACTTACATTTTCACTGATTGCTTTTCATACAGTAGGAAATAATTTTCTCCATTTTCAATAATGTCCCTTGAAAAGGTTGGGACATGAAATAGAAATTATCGTCAAAGCAGGTTTTGCATGAGACTGTACTGTAACGTACGCTATACATGGCCATTTGAAACGTTTTCTACACGTTTGAAACATACCCTGACTTATAAACAATTTTATTTCCTCAATAATTCATTTTTCAGTAAATCCTGTAGACGCTCGACTCCTTAAATACTTACCCCCTTCAATTAGGATTAGACATACTCTGAAAATTGGTTCTATCTAAAAATGATTGGTTTGCGGGATTTAATAATCAAATAAATCAGCCCTTTGCAAAAAAATTCATAATATTTATTGGAATACCAAGTAGTATTTTAGTTTTGATTTTGATATTAAATTTACATACTTAGAGCTCATTAAATTGGTTCTGGATATGCCTTTTTAATTAAGATAACGATTCTTAATTTTTTATTTATTAAATTTATATTTATATTATATTCAAATTATATTTGAATTTATTAAAGTATTTAAAATATGTCAGTAATCGTTCTTTGCAAACATTTCATGATTTTGGCTTTACGTCGTTTTTCTGGGCGCTTACAGTTCGTTGAGATGCACCAACGAGCTAGAATATACTACATAGATTGACCGAAGCGTCTCCATCTCTGAAGCAAATTCAAACTATGTTTTTTGCAGTCAAAGCAGCGCCCTCTGGAAAGCAAAGAATTCTTGCATTACTTTTGATGCTGGTTACAAACTATTACACCCAGGTTAGACCGTCGTTCGTATGTTTTGACTTCAAAAAACATGGTGGCCGTTAGTTCGGCCACTAGCCAAGAGCGCTGAAACTATAGTGACAGCAACTCTATGTAATATATTCTAGCTCGTTGGATGCAACTTGCGATGGCGTTGCGTTGCAAAGCACGCGTTTTACTATTTACTAAAGAATAATGACAATGAAATGATTGAAAGTCTAAATTGCTAAACCTAATGACATTAAGGATAACACGAACTAATAATTACACAAATAAATTCGCAGATGTCTTGTTTGGACATTTATATGTCGACTTCCTACTACCCGAATAATACCATGAATCGAAATTTTTACAAATATGAAACGAACTTACAAATGAAAACAAACTTCTAGCCTCATTAATTAATAGCACGAATTAGAGAATGTATCTAAGTGATATTTTATCTATTTATTTCTCCTTGTTTGACATTCTGTATAAATGATGGAGCTTTAAACTAAAAGTAAATACGTTACCTGGGGCAGTGTCAGTTTTAAGATCTAAATGACTTAAATTTACAGGTCAAAGAAGCTTCTCTTCGTATTGACAAAACAACACAGATTAATCGAAGACTGAAAACTGCTCCAAACACTAAAATCGTTCTATGAAACGTTTTTTAGACAGTTTTTTAGTGTTCACAATAAACATACTTAAATATTTTAAAAGTCTTTCCGCTTGGCAATTGGGGCAGAAATTACCCTTCCGAAAGAGAACTTCACTCAAAATACGTTTTTCAACTGTTCAGCCAAATTTTGTCGCTTTTCGAAAGTTCATCAATATCTGATCAAAATCAACATGCATTTTGACTAGCAGATACAAAGTACTTCATCTGAGATTATTATGATTTGAATTTGATTATTATGTTTTAAGCATTCTTGTTTAAACTACGAAACTGTAACAATATTTTCTCTCAACAAATTATGCAAGGAACTCGAATCCAGTTGGAATGCGCGGCATAACGAAGCTTTTTGTCCTCTTAAGTTTATTACTCAAACTACTCATATTTCATTAATTACTTAATTTAAATATCGGCAATTGAGGGATACAGTGCATTGATAAAAAAATCAAAGGAGTTCAATTGCCAGAACTTGGTAGACAAGGATAAAAAAGTTCCTGAAAAATTCCACAGCTTCAATATTGCGTTCATGTGGCGTGAATGGGCACAATCGAATTCAATATATCTAATGAGGATACATTCTAGTGTTTACTACTTTTGTAGACGTCCTATATATTTTATGTCTGGTGTGCATTTCTTTTTATGCTCATTTTTTTTGGAGCGGAATTACAAGATTTAGAAGTTCCGTCAGGGATGTTGGCGCAATGGTAAGCAGATGCACTATATTCGCAAACCTCTAGTACTGATTTTCCTTTGAGAACCATAAACCGAAATGAATCGTTTTATGACTCGAGAATCAGAGGTTATGTTCGCGAATCAAACTCCTACATCGTATTGCCCTCTACTTCACAAGCGGAACCAGCTTCCTTGTAACTCGCTGCTTTTATTCTAGTTGCTGTAACTTTGGAATGTGTCCTGGTTCCTTTTCTCGTGAGTGCAGGTTCGTTTGGAACATATACCGGCACATGCTCCAATTGTGGGATTTTTACGTTACGAGCGTCTCTGTACTTTTGTTTTGATGTGATTGGGAAGATTCGTGAGTTTAATGCAAGATTTTTGCGTATATATTTTGTTCTGTTTTTTAACGTACGTGTACAAGCTCAAAGTACGAAACTATTTTTAAACATAATTTTTTAATATACATCATTTCCCGTAGAGAACTACTATTCTTATCAGGGCTTGCATTTACGTTGAGGACATTTTAAGAATAATATATGAATATTTTGGATACATAAATATTTTTTGTCATAAGGCGACTGGCCTTATAATAAAAATATGTTACATTTGACGGAACATTTATAGACGTGAGCAGAATGAAAACGCATTGTGCATTTGTAATTTGGTTACTGCTGAAAACATGGCTCGCACGTAAGATTGTTTGACTCAATTTGTAAGGGAATATCGAGCGTGTAGATGTAAAGAAAAGCCATTGACATGTTTTTCAACGCGGATACATGTATTACAATTTAACAACAGTCTCCGAGAACGGTCTCTGGGTCTGAAAAGAGAGAACATTGTAACAGCTTCAGTGTCGCATTTGTTGTTGCAGCGTTGAAGAGGCGAGCGCCCGGGAAACTCGTGCGATGGTCGCGAACCGGTTTATTTCCGCCCCATTTGCGCCTTCGCGCGGAGCGGTGGGCGGGCGGGCGCTGGCGGGTCGCCCGTCTGCTCCGGCCGCGCCCCCGC